TATTACATTATACTATATTATATTATATTATATACAATATTATATTATATTCTTCTCCATCAAAGAAAAAAGTATTGAATTTAATCACATTAGAGAATAACATTATTTCCAGTAAATAGATTACGGTTTATTATGCAGACTTTGGAGAATCTAATTAATTAATAAACGTGACAGAAAGCTATTTTATACGGAGATTATAAGAATCATTGTACTTCAACTTTTTTATATATTTCATATTTTTTTTATATTGTGCATAGAAAAAAAGTATCTTCCACTTTGCAATCTAGAAACGTTTTAAAATAAAATGAATAATGTATATATTTTAAAAGTAGAGGCCTCAGACTTTGAAAATGAATTTGTTAAGTTTTTATCACATGATTTATTAAAATTAAGTTTGTTATTATTTGATAATTATTATTAACAAATTATGACAATTTCAATATTTACTGTCCCAATATTAATGGGAGTCATAGTATATAGATTTTGCTTCTCCATCGTAGTCAGAAAAGTTGATTTCACACTATTTATTTCCTCGGAAAATACTCGTTTATTCTTTGATTATTCTTTGATGAAAAAGTATATTGTTATTAATTTTAATTATGTTATTAATTTCACATGTCTGTAACAGTCATGTAATTGCGAATAAATACGAATGAAACTAATGTCGAACAAGCATAATACATTATCAAAGCAAAGTTTCAAGTATATCGATAATCAAGTTATTTCATGAAAATGAGCCTGCCATGTCATTGTTGATGCTACTTGAGAATATTTTTTACAATTAAGTATCGTATCTTTTATATATATAAATCAAAGATATAAGACATTTTTATTCAAAGTAACAATGAACTCTGTAAGAATATAAGAAGATACGAATACAAGAAAGAAAGTTAAAGATTCATCATATCAAAATAAATGCAATAAAAAACATAATAAAATTAAATATATTACATTTTTTCTTTATTCCAGCAATAATATTAATCGTACATTATTTCGACGATGTTTTTAATTCAAAATAATGTTATTTTCGCTTAGTTTGGAAATAATCCTCGTCATTGCAAAATAAAAGGATAAAAATATTCTGTAAACACAGTAAAAAGTTAATAAAAAAATTTCGTAAAATGTAACACCGCGAGATCTATGAAAAACTTCAAGGTGTCTACTTGGTGTCTAGCACAAATATTGCTCAGTTCGAGCAGAATGTTCTGAACACTTTAAAAGACGCGAAGAAACTAAAGTGCACAACAAAATAGTAGCCCTAAGAGAACTTCACTTCCCAAACGACTGTAAAGAACTGACTCTTCCTTTCATAACCTGTAATTTTCATGCTGCACATATGTTGGCCGTAAAACTTGGAAATGGAAATACCTGAGAGAAAATACCTGAGTTTGATTGGCACTTTCCACCGTGCAACGGAGGCAATTTTTTTCTTAAAACTCAGCGTAATTGTGAGAAAATTGCAGCTGTACAGGAAGGAAGTGAATAAAAGTAACGTTTCTCCTTGGAAACACATTTATTATTCACTCGCCATCGGTGGACAGTCATTTCCTCCTCATGCGTAATTCACAAGTTATGTCACGCGAGGGTGACAATATTTTCGTTCCTCTCTCGACTTTTCTGCGAAATGTGTAAAGCCACATGCGTAATTCACGAGTTATGTCACGCGAGGGTGACAATATTTTCGTTCCTCCCTTGACTATTCTGCGAAATGTGTAGAGCCACGACCCCGACCGTCAGACGTTTGCCGGCCGTCGAAGAGAATGGACTTCATCGGCTACAAGCATTATAGACTCCTGAAATTCTGCTTCTTCGCGACGGGACTGACACCGTACAAACCAACGTTGTTAAGCGTACTGCATACTACGATCGTATATTTGATACTTCTCAGTCAAACGCTTTCCATGGTAAGTCCATTCGTACGAAATATAACTGGTTTTGTCAAAAAAATTCATTTTTTCATTTACGTGTACGTTGTCAATTCTTACAGTTTTTTCTCGTGAGAAACACTTGTGCATCTCAATTTTTTTCATCGCAAGTAAGCGCTTTAACAACAAGTATAAATATAACATATGGTTTATTACTTGTGAAATCTATAAACGTAAGTTACAAATTAATTCTAACTAGTCACTATAATATCGTGTCGTCATGTAACATTTTTTCTGGATTTTTCAAGTTAGAGGAATGGTTAAAGGATATAAAACGTGATTGGAGTCACATACAAGACAAAGAAGAATTTAAAATACTTAAAACACACGTAGCAATAGGAAATCGTTATACAAATATTTATTTAAGTAAGAAGTTAAATTAATTGTCGCACAAGGCGGCGAGAAAACGTATAAGTATAATATTTTACATTTATGATGCATTATAGTTACATTTTGTATATTTTACGCTGGTTTCATTATTATTATGACGATGCCTCTTTCACATCGCATTCTCGAGATTTTATCTATGAACAAAACTCTGTGTTACATACCGATTGTTCCAATAATGCTTGTGGAAAAATCTCGAAATTATTATTTGATTGTCATTTTGAAAAACGTTACAAACATTCTGATGCCATCAATTTTCTATTGTCGTGACGTTCTCTTTTTATTGACAACTTCGCATATACGTGGGCTGTACAAAATTGCTATGTAAGTATAGTTTTGATTCTATACAAATAGCGACTGGATATTATGAAGTTTCTCACGTTTATTAGTTACCACATGAAAAATGCCGTGGATAGAAATTCGATAGAAATGGCCATTTCCAAGAAGGATATCGTTATACGCAACAAAATAATAAATTCAATGAAAATTTTTAACTTAATAGTAAAGTTAGTATCTTCTCGGTTGAATGCTAAATATTTATGCAAAGCTTATTTATGCGAATATATGCTATCTTTGAATTTACATATTTTAAATGTTAAACTTTTCTATATTAACGCGAAATTAAACTCATTACATTGCGCAGACATGCTTGTATTAATTCATTCTTTCTTGAAGGTGGATCAAGTATCTGAAACACAATTTTTCATTCTTCTGCCTACTAATCTTTGTAATAATGTCAGTATATTTCGCAATGGTCATGTTCAATGTAAGTAACATCACAGTGTGTCCTATACTAAAAACGTCGCATACATAATATGACAGAAATATGACGATATTTAATCTGGATAATATCAGCTGTCTCAGCTGACAATACAAAAATTGAGGCACGTGACAGCCTATTGTGATTACGTAATTATGTAATTATCTGAGCAAAATATAAGATTCGAGGTTTAAAACAACGATTAATAACCTTTCTAAGAAAAAACTGACATACAAAACTTGCTATTCAAAAAATAAAATTTTAAAACTTTACTTCATTTCAGAAATCGTCAAATTCCCACTACAGTCCTGTATTTTATTATGTTTATGATATATTCTCTATAGATTTCCAGAAC